AAACAAATGCACTCACAGTGCTGCCATGCTGCTAAAGATTCATTAGAGATACCCAACGGCTTTTGAAACACAGCCGGGTATACACGGTTGCATTTATCGCAATATGAAATGCAATTTGCAAATGTGAGGTAGTAAATAACTAATTTTATTATTATTTTTTATTTATTTATATATTATTATTTTATTTTTTTTTAGTTTTCTCCTCCATGTAGAGATTATCATTATTTATTATTAGTATTTTTATACGTAATGTTTTTTTTTATTATTTTCATACGGGCTCTGCAGCCTGTTCCAATGTTTATCAACATTAGAGCTGTAAAAGTAACGAAAATTTGGATACCTGTATGTATTCGTTACTAATCCAATCAACACCCATATCTTTCGTATCGTTACTTTACTAGTTACTTTTGTATTAAACGTTCTCTGCAGCGAGTCTCCCAGCGTAAGAAAATGTTCGTTCGTACATATGCATGCATGGACATATACATACATATATACACGCAAAACACTTTAGTATCGATATGAGCAACAGTTTGGTCCCCGGACAACGTTGTGTTGTATTGATTCGCGTTAATGGTGCAAATAGGGAAAATGCGAATAACGAGTTTATTGTGAGTAAAAATATGTTACTTCGAGTCAGGGGTTGTACCTGTTCCTCAGTACCGAATGCATATGGTTTGCTACATCTCTAATCACCACTCATAGTAGCAAATACTCAAACCGGATACATAAATGTCCCCAACCGATTCCTCCAGTGTATTTTGGTCCGTAACCGAGTAGAATGATGGGAAAATGGCAAAATCGCTTGCCCACCCTATACTTCCGGTAGTGCATTCCAGTGATTTCGGTAGTGCATTCCAGTGGAAGTTTTTGTCTGTCCCTGTTCTGACATTCATCATTCCTAAATTCGCCTCCTTTGCAACCAATCTGTTGAATTTCTTTAGTAATTTGTTAAAAAAAAAGCGCTTTAAAATATATTTTTTCGTGTTATTAATACCTGATTCGAATTTTGTGCACTTATATTGCTTTAAAAATTAAAATACAGACTTTTGTGCCGAAAAATGGAGGATATATTTCATTGGTGTCGTGAGGGAAACTCGATACAAGTGCGTCTGTGGCTGGAAGATACGGGCAATGATATGAATTTGGGGTAAAAAAACAAAAGTATATACATGGTATTTAAAGAAATTTCTCATAAACCTTCTTGGACAAAGTACAAATAATCTCAGTGCTTGGCAAATATTGCGCAAGGCTGAATCCGAAATGATGAGTGACGTCATGACGAATTCTTGATTGCTTTGAAAATCTGTATAAACATTTGCATATCAAAAAGCGCAACAACAAATACGTATCCAGTGGCAGATGGTGAGATGTGTAACCTTCGCCTGATTCAAGAGAATTTAAATACACATACATGCCTACATATGGATTAATGCATAAACATTATGGCAGTGTCTACACACACGCGCCACGGTAATTTTTACCGTGTATCCACGGTAAAAAATACCGTGGATCTACGGTAAAATTACCGTGGATCTACGGTAAAATTACCGTGGATCCACGGTAAAAATTGCCGTGGATCTACGGTAAAAATTACCGTGGATCTACGGTAAAAAGTACCGTGGATCTACGGTAAAAAGTACCGTAGATCCACGGTAAAAAATTACCGTCGATCCACGGTGTATTTACCGCGAATCCGCGGAAAAAAATTACCGTGGATTCACAGTGATTTTCGAAGCGTGCGAATAACTGTATTTTTTAACAGTAGATCTACGACAAAAATTAGTGTGGACCCGAGGTTATCTATTTTTCCAACGTGAATGAACAATCCTAATTTCTCATATAGATGTATCACGATAGATGTATGTAAATACCTAAGTTACTGCCATTCATTCAAAAATCAATTCGTTAATTAGTTCATAAAAATCGTGCAATAATAATAACCTTTGAGCGAAAAAATGGCATTCGAATATTAATTATTAGCTTTAATCTTTATTGGTTAAACTCGAAAAATAAAGATCATCGTAAATTACAGTAGAAGGTACGAATAGAAATACGTCAGTATAGATAAAACTGTTTTACGACGATTACAACTTTTGATTTTCTGGTTAAAATTTAACAAATAATGATTATTTTCCGTATGATTAAATTATTTTGTGTATGATTAAACAAACCATGATATCTTACTGTCGATAAGTAACTACTGCGCGTTGTTGCTGTATTTTCCTATTTTTCCATAGAGCACAAGGCACAGAACCAATCGCCAACCGGCTTCCTCTTTATCTCCACACACACCCAATGATGCCACAGGTAACATCCGTCACAACGTATAACATTTTTACACGACTGATGATGTTTTCCTCCACATACAGCACATTTGTAATCATCTTTAGCTCTTTTCATTCCAAGAGTAACCAAAAATGTTTCAAATGTATCTTTCTCCATGCACGGCATTAAAAGTTTTAGATGATCGCCTCGGGTATCAATGAAAGAATCGTTCAAATTGGCAGTGTCGATTTCGCTGCTTTTGATTTTTGAAGACGTGAAATCTCGTCCTTTCACATAATTTGACATCAGTAGCCATTTCAGCATCATCTCAAGTTTGGTGTCATTATTTTTTGTATCAAAGGCTACTCCACCAACTTTGTCGTCGTCCAATTTTTTTGGGCCCCAACTTTGAGTTGCCCCACGACTTCTACCCCTGGACCCTCGTTGACCTCTAGCCACCTCTCTGCCTCCAGCGCGTTGATGCTGTTGTAGCAATCGTTTGTTCCCTTCTTCCTTTGGGAGCGGTATCCCAGCCACTGTGGTTCTTCGGCCTTTGGGGGCTCCTCTAGGCTTTCCTACTTTACAAACATCTTTTATTCCAAAAAGAGTTTCAATTGTCGCCTCGTTAATCTTGCTACAAGTTTGAAGCTGTAAAGATGGCATCACCAAAGGCGTTTCTTTGTGGTCAGCAGCGGAAGGTGGGGTTTTGGGATTTTCTTCTTCCTGGACGACCTTTTCCGGCAAACGGTTATGAGCTGAATCAGTGCTGCTATTCGGGAATTGGCGAGTTAAATCGATCGGTATCTCTGGGTTCTGGGTTTGCTCAGTTAAAGTAGACAGAGGTCTGTGCCTTGTTATAATGTTATCATATGTTAATTTCGCATCGAGAATTTCTTTAAAACGCTAGGAAGGAACGCCAAAAATCTAAATTTAGAGATTTTGAATCTTCAGAGGAAGTTTTTGTTACCTTTCTGAGTATGTTATCTGAATGGGCAAGCTCGTAATCTCCGTCTCTTCTCTGATTAGTGTTCTTGTTTATGTCATACATATACAATTAACAAATATACATACATACACACATACGACATATCCCAGTGGGAATTAGGAGCACGTAATAATATCTTATTAGCAACTTACTCTTCACCTGGCAGTCATTACCATTTCCCTGCCGAACGTCCCTTACTTTTACAAAGGCATGGCCGCCTTATGTAAGTAGGAATTTAGAATGTACATTTGGTATCAGACATTCTTCTGAGCCGCTTTACAAAGTAAGTTACGTGTAATGCAGAGAAGTCGCTCGGAGTAGTTCGGCGCTTGGAGATAACTTCGGCTGCACGTTACTTTGCAACTGACAACGTAATGTCAATAATGTCGTGGGAGGTGTTCATTTTGTTCTTTACTAGTAGATGACATTGGCCATGATGACAATTTTGGTACTAAAAACTGAAAGAAAACATGGCTTACCTCGTAAGGTGCTTACCTATTTTCCCAGTGGGATGTACATGTCGAATAGATAACCTCTTAGTTTTCTTTGAAGTCGTTTAAAAAAAAAATATCATTTACCGCACATCTACATTAAAAAGGTGGTTCTTCGCGCACTTCGGAAATCAAACATCTTCTTCGTCAAGCAAAAATCTTCAGAAATTGCCGTGGATCCACAGTAAATTTTTACCGTGGTTCTACGGTAATTTTTTTACCTTGGATACACGGTAATTTTTTACCGTGGATCCACGGTAATTTTACCGTAGATCCACGGTAATTTTTACCGTAGATCCACGGCAATTTTTACCGTAGATCCACGATAATTTTTACCGTAGATCCACGGCAATTTTTACCGTAGATCCACGGTAATTTTTACCGTAGATCCACGGTAATTTTACCGTAGATCCACGGTATTTTTTACCGTGGATCCACGGTAAAAGTTACCGTGGCGCGTGTAAATAGACACTCCCAAACATTATACCAGAGAACGTTCCCAGTAGAACTTGGGAGCATCGTACGATTGCTCGGTGAGTACTCCCTTGGGAGTATACGAATACTCCCCATTGCTCCCTATGCTTCTGTGTATAAGCATGTAATTTTGTATACTCCCTTTAACATTGGATGTCCTAGGAGGGGGAGTAATCCCTTTTACCTCCTAAACGAGCAATCGGGGAGCACACACAGAATTATCATCCCACAAACCTCCTAATAGAGCAATACGGGAGTACTCCTATAGTTACCTCCCAGAAACCTCCCAAAAAGACAACAAGGGAGTGCACATAGAAAACATCCCATATTCCTCCCGAACGAGCAATAAAGGAGTGCTCTCATTAGAGACATCCCGAAAGCCTCCTGTAGGAGTAATAAGAGAGCAATGATAACGAACATTTTACATTAGCCAAATAGATTTTGCTATTTATTAAATTTTTGTATATAACTTTTTAATCACGTGCATTTGTGCAATGTTACAAGATCTTAAAAATAAAACATAAATGATACGTCTTACATAATTGCTTAATTTTAGAATTATATTGCAGAGAAATCATATGAAATTAAAACATAATAATAAAACGGTAAGATAAGATTTGAATTATATGCACCTATATGAACATATAAGTATGTACTCCTATATGATTTCCTGGGTGTCAAGGATGCTTGCCTGTTCAGGAATCCACCAAGCGGGGAAATTGAGAAGGTGACTTTGCTTATCTGACATCTTTGTCACCCATGCGAAGTTTAAACCCCGGGGTCACACTTAAATGCTGACACTAATTTGCGCAATCTGGAAAGTATTTAACGGTGCATTTATAAGTAATACAATACATACTTAATATATTTAAACAAAAGTTGAAGTACATACCAACGGACTTTTATTAAAATCTGTGTGCAATCCAAATTAAATTATTGTGTCCTCCTTATGCTTCTATAAGAAATATTTTCTGTTGTTTTTTTGTATGATAAATTTTTTCGAAAACACAAATTTCTTTTGAGTGAGGTGCGTATTGCTCTCCTATCAATCAAAAAGAATACTCTTGGATTTCTCGCTTAGGAGACATCACTTTTTGCTCCTAAGCGAGTAATAACGGAGTACAAAACCGACAAATCTCGCTTATTGCTCCCAAATCATGCCTTTGGGAGCATTCTTTGATTGCTCGCTTAGGAGATCTCTTATTAAGCTCCTAAGCGAGTAATAACCGAGTACAAAACCGACAAATCTCGCTTATTGCTCCCAAATCATGCCTCAGGGAGCATTATTTCGTCGCTCGCTTAGGAGATCTCTTATTTGACTCCTAAACGAGTAATAAAGGAGTACAAAATCGACAAATCTCTCTTATTGCTCAGAAATCAGGTTAAGGGGAGTACTCTTTTATTCCTCACATAGGGAGATCTCCCTTCAAGTTCTAAAGGGTTCTTTGATTATACACATATCTAATGCTTGTATGTGAAGCGCAGAATTAAAATTAAATATGTAAATACAGTTAAAACATTTGTAATATTGCACATCCTTAATTTTTAATAGAACTTACAATTCTAATAGCCAACTTGTGCAGGTCTTTTTAAAGCCACAATGTGCAACCAAAGAGTTTTGCAAAATGAAATCTTTCGAATTAAGCCAAGCGGGCATTAGCTTCCGGTCCCATCTGCGTCTGATGTCACACTGCGTTCCCTAAAAGGCTGTTTTTGATTATTACTACTTAAATAATAATAAACATTTCCTGGTCTAATTCAAATACTTATTTTAGTGATGATCATGGCTTCAGTCCTCTTCACTGGTGCGCCAAAGAGGGTCACACAAAATTAGTAGAAACTCTAATACAACGTGGAGCACGCGTTAATGCCACCAACATGGGCGATGATATTCCGCTACATCTGGCTGCGGCACATGGACATCGTGACATTGTGCAATTGGTGAGTTCGATTGCATATTAAAAATTTCTTTTTCCCAATTATAATTCGCTACATATTTTATCCATTTAGCTAATTCGCGAGCGCTCTGATGTCAATGCTGTAAACGAGCACGGCAATACACCACTGCATTACGCTTGCTTCTGGGGCTATGATATGATTTGCGAAGACTTAGTAAATGCTGGCGCACTCGTTTCCATCGCCAACAAGGACAATGATACACCATTGGATAAAGCAAAGGCTGGTTTGTCAAAGCGTTTGCACGACTTAGCTGAACGTAACGGTCATGATATTAAAAAGATAAGCTTTAAGGAGCAAAGTTGGTTGGGTACGAAAACCCGTTCACGCGATGCAACACTCTCCCGTTTTAAGGGTATCAGTTTGGGTGAATTAGATTTACACACGAAAATTGCAGTAACCCCATCTGGCGAGACATGGCGTGGACGTTGGCAAAAGAATGATGTTATTGCAAAGGTAATGGTGAAATAGGCTGACTGCCAAAACGTCAATTGCTTTGTATACGCGCAAAGTCTAAGGTTCCATAACGTCGAACTACAAAATATTGACAATGTATACTGTTCCAAAACGCTACCGCTAATTTATCGAAACGTATTGCTTGAGCAATCAGCGCATCAGAAACAAAGTTGATGCTTCTTAATGCTTAAATATGGAATATTAAAAAAAAAAAAAAAAATTGTTGATTGCTATATTGAATATTTAAAATATGCAATGTATATGGTTGCAATGTGTCGCAACTCTGCATATACAAACAGTTTGAATACAGCAGTATAACAGTTTCCAAACATTGTATTGATACGTTTTGAAAGTCAGCCATACTTACAACAACGGTAATAGTTTTAAATATATGTAATACTTACTGATTTAATTACAGATCTTAGCCGTTCGCCAGTGCACTTCACGTATATCGCGTGATTTTAATGAAGAGTTTCCTAAGCTCCGCATTTTCTCACATCCAAATATACTGCCAATAATTGGTGCTTGCAATCAGCCGCCAAATCTAATTACAATTAGCCAAGTAAGTGGAGTACATATAGCTGAAATGTTTAAATTGTTTTTGAATGCACGTAAATTGGTACTACCATATATTTTTATAAAGTTTTATAAAGCACCCCTAAAAATCCCATCAAGCTACACACACGCATGTCCCCTTATATGTATGTATGCATATGTATTGATCATTTTTATACCGTGTTCACATACATTTTTAAATAATTCCCATGTGTACATACATATATGTATACATACCTGCTCATCTCATAACTCTGCCTGACTAAGTTTACTTTGATATCATAGTATGTACATAATCACAGTTATTGGAACTAAAGCAGACCCATCGTAACCAAAGAAATTTTGGTTTTTTGAAATAATGACCATATTTTGTTTTCAACCAACTTAAATAGTTTATGACACGTGGTTCGCTCTTTAATTTGCTGCATCGTGCTACTGGCATTGTTGTGGATACAGCGCAAGCAGTGCGTTGCGCCTTGGATATAGCGCGTGGTATGGCATATCTACATTCGTTAGAGCGCATCATACCAACGTATCACCTTAACAGTCATCACGTTATGGTAATTTATAAAATTTTTGTAAAATAAAATTTCCAATATTTTTTTATTTACATTTAATTTTTCAGATCGATGATGACCTAACGGCACGCATAAATATGGGTGATGCAAAGTTCTCCTTCCAAGAGAAAGGCCGCATGTATCAACCTGCTTGGATGTCACCGGAAGCATTGCAGCGCAAACCGGCGGATCGCAATTGGGAAGCGTGTGATATGTGGAGTTTTGCAATAATTCTATGGGAGTTAACTACACGTGAAGTGCCTTTCGCAGAATGGTCGCCGATGGAGTGCGGCATGAAAATTGCATTGGAGGGGCTGCGTATTAAAATACCTCCAGGAACTTCGTCACATATGGCTAAATTGATAACGATTTGCATGAATGAGGATGCTGGCAAGCGACCGAAATTCGATATGGTCATACCGATTTTGGATAAAATGAAACGCTAGGAAGGCGAGGAGTTTAATGAAAGTGCCTGCAATGCGTTAAAAACAAAATTTGCGAAATACGAAAATATTGCCAAGTTAAATTACAAAGTACTGAAAACAGTGCCTGAATCGTTTAAATTTTTGTTGAACGAAAAATAAAATTTTAATTAGTTATGTACATATATGCATACTACTAAAGTAACTGCACAAAGGATATTGTAACTTGTAATGTTTTTTAGCAATTTATACGCACGAATTTACACTTCTGATCTGAAAATGTTTCGTATTTATACAATGTGTATTTTTGTATAACCGTAGTCAAATCGCAGATGTCGCATGTTAAATATTTAAGTAATTTTTAGTGAATTCTTGTTTTAACTTTTAAACTTCACTGTCTACTACCCACCTAAATATTTAAGCATAACAAATCTATTTATTTTTAAATGTTTGTGAATATACTAATGTGCTGTTTTATATGGCAAATTTATTATATTTTAATGCGAGGCATTTTTTCGGTGCTCTTAACCACATTTGTATTTCATTAAACTATTTTAAATGTCTTTTAATGCACATACGTATGTGCATAAAATATGTATTTCTAACTGTATTGTTTTATTTTTTACTCATCCTGCAAGCANTAAATCTATTTATTTTTAAATGTTTGTGAATATACTAATGTGCTGTTTTATATGGCAAATTTATTATATTTTTAACAAGAGCTTAATGCGAGGCATTTTTTCGGTGCTCTTAACCACATTTGTATTTCATTAAACTACTTTAAATGTATTTTAATGCACACACGTATGTGGATACAATATGTATTTCTAACTGTATTGTTTTATTTTTTACTCATCCTGCAAGCAAAACTTTTTTTTTCTAATCGACGTTATATTTTTGATATCTTTATATACAATATGTATGCAATAATTTTTTATACCACGTAATAGCGAAAATAACAAATAAAATATTTAATTTAGCTTTTTAAGCATAAAAAAGTTTTTCAAAATGTAAAATGCCGGGTTTGCGGTGAGAAAGATAAAAAATTTAATTTTTGTTAGGTGTTGGATGCTGAGAGTATACCGTAATGCTTCAATTTTATCAGCAATTATGTGGCGGTCACTTCATCAACGTTCCCAAAATCATCAAAATCAACAATCTTCTCTTATTGCTATAACAATAACTGTAACTTTTTTGATTGGCCTTTTATNCGTAATAGCGAAAATAACAAATAAAATATTTAATTTAGTTTTTTAAGCATCAAATCGTTTTTCAATATGTAAGATGCCGTTTACAGCGGGGTTTGCGGTGTGAATGATAAAAATTTAATTTTTGTTAGTTTTGAGAGTATACCGTAATGCTTCAATTTTATCAGCAATTATGTGGCGGTCACTTCATCAACGTTCCCAAAATCATCAAAATCAACAATATTCTCTTATTGCTATAACAATAACTGTAACTTTTTTGATTGGCCTTTTATTATTTATTTTACTTAATCCAAAAGATTGTTGTTTGCTTTTGTATCAACAGTACACAACGGCAAACACAAATCATTTACATATCTCAAACTTGCTTATTGAATTTTTGCATTCCATCCCCACCATGCAATCATTACTCATTGAAAAAGCGTCTATGCAATAACCACTACATAATATTTTTTTGAAGAAAATGCCGGTCACGTGTTTTCCATTAGCAGCAGTAGCATCAAGCCAAAATAAAAACTACAACTTTAGTTGCAACAAAAAATTTCGCTGAAGTCGGCAACCAACGCAGTTCCTATAACTTAAATCTGCACCGAAGCTTGTGATATTTATTCTCCGGCAATCGCTTTCTCTTTGTGCAGCGTCTCTCTTCAAAGCTTTTCCTGCTTGCAATTTTTCGCACACTCACTCTCTTGGCTAATGATACCGGAAGTGCAGCCGCTACTGAATGCGTTTGTGTGCATGCGTTGAGTATGAAAGACGCTGCAATGAGCACAACGGCCCTGACCTACTTAACAACAAGCAGCAGGGCACAACAACAACAGCAGCGTATGTGTGAAAAAGAGTTATTGGGAGCAAATTCACTTTTAATTGCAGTGGTAGTCTGGTAGTGCTTTTGTATCCTTAATAGGATGAGAATCGAATATTGAGTTTGTGTTTGTGTACGAAAAAGTTGTGTGTTTGCAAGTGTTGAGTGGATTCGTTGAAAGCTTTAGAAATCATGCTGAGAGTGAATCAGGTAAAATGACTTATATGAAGCTGCCGTCAAAAATTAAGAAAATCGTGGGCTTCTCGCACGAAATGGGAAAATTACCGCTGAATAGTCAATATTGATGAAAATTTATTTCTTTGGTCTGGAATCTCTGAAGAACTCTTTCTTGGAAATATTTAAAACCGAATTAAAAAAAAAACGCTAAAAAATGGTTTATTTTAAAATTTAAATTTTTTGTTTTTATATTTTGGTATTGCGATTGATTTTTATACACAAATGCCAATTTGGAGTCAAAGTCGCATTTCTTAAAGGAAGACATGAATTAATTAAGTCGTACTTAAATCGGGCTGTAGCTGAAATAGGAGTGCACAGTGCCATCCAGGTGCAATGTTTTTCTCTTAGCGGTCCTAGCTATACATATGTCTGATATAAATATAAATACGTTAGTATTATTGTTCAACTTTTAAAACGAGATAGGTCACTGGCGAAGTTTTTTGGTCCGAGCCAAAGAGACTCACGGAGAAAAAAGATAAAATTTGAAATATTTCGAAACTGAACTCAGTGCCGTTTCAGACGTTCCGGTTAATCGGTAGCCGGTTTGCCGGTACACAATGTATAAAACCGGACACCAGCTTCTGTGAGATCCCTAGTAACAACACTAACTATAAACTTCGAAATCTTTTTCGTTCATACCTAGGCCAAATTTGCCTAGAGATTCGACAGGTTGTAGTTTGCATCCGTTTCTCGCTTGCGCAAGTATAGATAAATTCTCTAGGCCAAATTTGCCTAGAGATTCGACAGGTCGTAGTTTGCATCCGTTTCTCGCTTGCGCAAGTATAGATAAATTCTCTTAAAATCAGCTTGCAAGTGGCGAAGGATGTACCAATGCGTTCTTTTTCCGGAAGAATCTGCTTGGTCGTAGTCTCCTCGCAAGTTCGTCCGCCAGATAAAATCTATATCCCTATGACCCGAAACCAATATGAAGTTTTGACTGTTATGCTTAGTCATCTCTTGCAGAGATCGGCGGCCTTTTATCTTTTAAATCACTCCGAAGTTCGTTTATAGACTCCATTTTGGCTCATCGGGAAATTTGTTAAAAATTGATTGCAAGATTTGACCCAAACAAACATGCTTACAAACATACATACAGGCATTATACCAGTAGTGATGTGCTGAGTCAATACTTTTAAGTATTGATCGATATTCGGTACCGATTTAAAAAGTATCCAATACTCTCGATACTCGGTACCGAAACATTTAGGTTTCGAATAAAAGCGCACATATACCAAAAATATGGAAAAAGCGGTTCAGGGGAAACTCGCCTATCAAAACCCGAATGAAGGAACCAATAGAGCTTTTACCACTGGTGCAAATAAAAGATGTCGGTTCGAGACCAAAATGCAGCGAAACTCTTACTTGTTTGAAGCATTTTTGTTCCAGCTGAATCGGACGATATCATTTTTGTAGGCCTGGGGCAGATTCTGTAACCAGTTAGCGACAATTTTCGAATCGGTATCGGTTTTGTTGACGTATGATATAAAATATTTTTTACGTCAAGAAGTGCGATATCGATCCGAAACTTGTCGCTAACTGGTTACAGAATCTCCCCCCTGATACGCTTCTTCATCCGTCAAAGCATTTTGTTTGAACCTTGCATCGACTAAGGTTAAAACTGATAAAATAATATTCTATTTTGCGATAAGTTCAAGTGTTTTAGCCGATATCATATAAATTAGTAATGAAAGTTTTTTCTAAATTTGAAATGCATATAATGGCGAAGGTTTAATGTAAAGAATCGGTATCGGGTACCGAAAAGGAAGTATTGGGTACCGAAATCTTTTTTAAGTATTGGGTACCGACAATTCAGCACATCACTATTCCCAGCAATCACAAAGGCCGCATCATACGAAACTGTCTAAGCCGGAAAATTGAGTTTAATTACACAGGTCCACAAAAAAGAAAATCGATGAAAGCTTCCTTCGACCAAACCTAGTCTATTATATTTTTTTGGGGTCGCTGAATACGAATCTGAAGTCCGTTTTGCTCCATCACGTCTATATTTTTTCCTAACCTTGAAAAACATCCCGAAGGAACCTTTCATCGATTTTTTTTGTGGGGGGCTGTGTTATTAGCGTACGATTTAGATTTAGGTTTTTTTTTAGATTTTTTTGCATGCCCCCTAACAGGGGCCACATACATAATGGCTAGCGAGATCCAGCGCACCTATATGACCTCCACATCCAAAGGCAGAGCCCTCTCTAAGCACGAGAACGCAGCCGAACGCCAAAAAAGCCTCGCGCAGTGGCAACAACGGTGGGACGCGTCTTCGTCGGGTCGCTGAACTTTCAGACTCATTCCGAGCATCGAAGCCTGACTTAGCAGATCACATGGCGAAGTAGATTTTTATATGACGCAACTACTGAGTGGACATGGCTGTTTTTAAGACAGTACTTGTGCAAGAGTGGTCATGATGACCGAATGGCATGTGGTTCATGTGGAAGTGGAGCGGAAACTGCCGGGCATATATGTATTCTTTACATGCCCCTCTTTTTCGGCTAAAATAAACAAATTAAAAGATATTATACATAGAGCGCTTATTTTCAATACCCTCTATCTGCAATTTTCACAAAAACTACTTTGTGATGTTAGCACCCATCTGGGGCTTACCTGTAATCATTGATGTTTATTCTGACTTTGCAAATTAAAAGTAAATTCTTTTGTCAAGCGTTATACAAGGTCAGCATAAATATCACCAATGATAGTTAAGTCTTAGGTGGACTTTTGTATCAGAGGCTCATTTTTGTGAAAAGTGCAAATAGAGGGTATTGAATATAATCCCTCGATATGTTAAATTACAATAAGGCATGGAGCGTAGTATAATCTGTCAGTAAAGAAATAATCACTGAGATTAGGGTAAGGGAGCAACGCGTCGGAAAGAGAGAGAGGCTATAATCAGTAAAATAAATAAAGTAATTGAAATTAATTAAAATTAATTCCCTTTTGTGTGGCAATATCAAGGCACACTTTACAAATCGGAGGAGAAGCTCGGCCAAACACTAACATTTGGTGTAAGCACCAATCTGTTATTATTATTTAAAATATTTCTGTGTATGTCTCTTTAATTTTTGAGCATTAAAACTTAAACTCCGGTTAGACGTCTGAGTTCTACCAGACGTATGAGTGATCTGTAAGAACATTGAATTCGAAATGTTACTCATACGCTCCGAGCAAAGCACAGACATACGACATAGCGTACAGAAAAGCTGCGCCTCACAGCTTATGTTCTAAGCCCAACAAACACTGGAACAAAAATTTTCAAATGTTTAAGAAAATCGTATTTTTCAATTTGATTTTCAGCATTGTTTATCATTTGAAACTAAACATTTTCTCAAATTATTCTCAAACATTGTTTATCA